ATCACATTTCGCTATTTATGGTTAATTGAAATATGAGTTGAGATAAGGACTTTACAAACTTCGAGCAATATTTTCACTAATGGTAAAACTCTGAACATAATATCAACGTTCTGAACCATTCATCTTCCTGCATCCTCTAAGAGATCATATTTTCAAAAAAGAAAATCCGAAAAAAAAATTGTGAAAAGAATGGAGCGTAAATGTGAATGACAACCAACGGCTAAATTTAGATCTATATATAGTTTATGTTATTATAGTGGCGAATTTCAGAGTTGATCTCTTCAGGAAAGTTGTAAAACTTGTCATTACGAACGTTTATATATATATATATATATATATATTTCACACTTCTACATTAATTAAAAAACCATTAAAAAAACCTTTTACTTAAACAATAGTCATATGATTTAATCTAATTTATATGAGATTAAATCTTTACCGTTGGATATCCTTGAACAGTTGGTATTTAGTAATGTACTAATGTTTTTTCATTAAGCTCTTATTTTGGGTATCCTTGAAAGTCAAATGTTTTTTTTTTATATTTATTTTTGTTATGTCATGAAGTAATGTTTATGTGACAACGTAGTAAGCATATACTAATTTAGTATTAGGTCTTCTATTTGTTTTTTGTCAAATTATGTTTTTCATTTTCATTAATTATTGATTTAAAATCTATTTTCTTTAACGAGAAACAGGTCAGATCATTTTACTTTATAATATTAATGAGTCGATTTTGGATCGGGTTATATTACTCCTTTACTTTAACAGGTGCTACACGACACGACCTGTTATGATATCAGGTATGTTACGAAAATGACATGAATGCCAGGTCTAGCGCACCAACCTTTGCAAAAGCTCCGCCTATCATCCTCTTCCAACACTACTTGCGCAGTTTTGTGAGCGACAAATTCAGGGACTGGATTCAGTGGCTAGCGTGGGCAGAGTGGTGGTGTAATACCACCTTCTAATCCGTCATCAAAATGAACCCCTTTTAGGCCGTGTATGCCTACCCTCCACCCACGGTGTCGACTTACATTCCTGGTTCTCCGGTGCACCCGGTCGACGTCGCCCTCCGTGATCGAGATGCCCTACTAAAAAGTTGGGTGAGCATCTGCAACTTGCACAACACCAAATGCGCCAGCACACTGATAAACATCGATCTGAACACACATATTCAGTTGGGGATTGGGTTTTCCTCAAGCTTTAACCCATCGCCAAACCTCGGTGTTTAAAACTCACTGCCCGAAACTGGTCCCCTGTTACTATGGTCCTTTCAAGATGCTTGCTCCTGTTCGTCAGGTTGCTTATACACTAGACCTTCCCCTTCAATCTCACATTCACCTTACCTTCCGTATCCTTGTTGAAACTCATAGTGTGACTTCTCCCGTTCTGCTACCAGTCTCCTATGAGGGTAATTTCATGTGATCCCCTGGAAAAAAAAAATTCTTTCAAAGGGTCCATTCAAGATGGCCTTCTGGAGCATGACGTGACTTGGGAGGATGTAGATTCACTACTCACCCGTTTTCCAAAATTTACAGCCTGAGGACAGGCTTGTTCAAGGGGGGTCCATGTTAGGCCCTTACTGTAGTTAGGCCCTCTATGAGTTAGGCCCTCTATGCCGGAAATGGATTCTCCCTCAGCATCTGCTCATGATCCTGTCTGCTCATGATCCTACTGATTCACACATAAGGACCGTTGGATGAAAATTCAATGACTATAAATAAGAGAGTTTCTTTAAAGTTATAATAATTGTAACCGATGAATTTTTATCTAACGCTCCTTGTGTGTGGATCAGTAGGATCCTGAGCAGAGAAGAGAATCCATTTCCGGCCTTCTTGTTATATCATTTGTTATTTTTAGTATAATAGGAAATGGTTGTTCTATGATGACTCATCAGAAGAGACATTTTGTCTATTGTGGCTAGTGGGTATATAAGCCCCATGAATAATGTCTCTCTGTTATGCATGAATTAAATCTTTAATTTTCCTCTCAACTGATCCTTTTTTTTTCACCTTTTCCTCTCTTCTCCAGCGATTGGTACCCTAACAATTTACCTGAGAGGTGCTGTAGTGAGGAAAAAAATGAGGGGTTCTGTAATTTTGCCACTACAAATTCTGGCAGTAAAAACAACTTGTGAGTAAAACCCGTACCATGATTCTGATGCTTGGTCTCTAATTTCAAATTTCTGGCATAGGAATCAATGTTCATGGGTTTTTATTTGATATATGTTTTTAGGAGTTTTAGGATTTCAATTAATGCCCAATTTCTTATTTCACATAATTTCTACTTTTTAGTATTCAAACGTTCACTTCAATTAATAGAAAAGATGGGAGCTTTGGATGATTTCACATAGATGTCTATTTTTCACGAGTTTGCAAGTGAGCTGAGCAGCTTTGCAGATTGCAATCCACCCCAATTTTTCATGATTGGATATGTTGTTCTTGAACTTGAACTCATCATTCTTGAATGGATATGCTGTTCGCTAAAGCTATCCTTTATAACTACTCAAGCTCTTCGATCAACGTTCTCATGACCCATTCTGTTTACGCGTTTTGCGATTACATGTAGTTCATAACATGTCGTCAATAAATGTTTATTAACTTGCTTATGATTTATATACACACACACACACACGATTCTTTCTTTTGTTAATTTGCTTATGATTTTATCTATTTGGTTGGGTAGTTTATAAAATGTCTCAATCAAGCATGGAAGTGGAAGAAGATGGAAAAGAAATGGAAGTGGACGAAGAGGAGGAAGAAATGGAAGTGGAGCAAATGGAAGAAGAACAAATTGAATAAGAAATGTCATGCTTCCTTAAGAAATGTAGTCAAGGATATTTGGTATTTTTCTTTAAGTCACAATTCAAATGAGAATGGGGAAGAAATTTATTTATGTTGCAAGAATCAACTAAATCCTAAGAAATCCATGAAAGAAGCCTATACAAATTTATAAATATCTATAATAGAAATTCATATAAATTTGCCAAAATTCATATAAAATTGTGAATCTATTAAAATAATTTGAAATCTGTCACTTAAATAATAGATTAATGTTACAGAGATTAAATTTTTAAACTAAATTTGTAAACTAAATGATAAAATGATGTGTCACCAACAGAAAATGATCACGTTTATGAACGCTTAAGTAATAATCTAATTATCAACTTCCATGTTATTTAGTTTACAAAATTTATTCTTTCTAGCATTAATCTAGAAAAAGTCTATTAAAATTCGTTGAAATCTAAATTGACAACACTCACAGTTAATCCTATTATATAATAAAAGCCAATTTAATGGTTGTGTTTTGACTAATCCTAGTCAAAACAATAAGAGGGTGCTTATTTGCCCTCTCTATACTTCATTGGACTGGGCTGGTTTAATTGGGATTGCTAGGCCATGCTTAGTGTGAACAACGTTAATGAGATTGAGTCGGACACACCCCGCTACGTCCTTTGCTATGTAGTCTTAGTGAGTCCCCCCGAAATGTATGGGATCGTTGATCCCATCTCCAAATCTGCTTATTTGCACATTGCATTGTCTGCACGCTGCTTCGTTTGTAAGTATTCTTCTCTGCAACTCTGTTTGCCCACCCCCAAATCTAAAATCCAGCCCCACCCACTGCCTAACTCTCAAAATCCAACCACCAAAAAAAAAAAAAAAAAAAAAAAACACAAAAAACAAAAAATGCAAAACAATAACAACAATAAGAGAAGTCGATCTGCAAGCATTCTTCCTTTTTCCCAGAAAATTCTGAGATGGCTATCTTATTCTGGAATTGCAGAAGGAGAAGTCAATGCATGTATCAGAGGGAGGAGAAAGATTCGAAAATTTTTGGGAGAAAAGAGGGTGAGGAAGGTAGAGATGCTTAATAGAGGAAGAGGGTGAAGAGGATGAGCTTATTTTGAAAGATCTTCCATGGCCTTATTTTGCAGGGCTGTATTTTGCAGGAAAGAGAGGGAGGAAATGAGAGAATGGGACGGAATCAGAGAGAAAAGATAGGAGCAGTTTCCAGAAAGAAGTAGAGTGTTATAGAGAAAAAAAAAAGGGTGAAAATAATATTATTTGATAAAATAATAAAATATTATTAGATATGTGTTGAGTAATATAATATTATAGTTGTTTATATCCTACTTTTTAGTCGGACAATACATCAAATGTTTTATTACGTTCGTTCTACTTAATCTATTCTAAACCAGTCCAGTTTAATATATTATAAACCAGTTTAGTTTAATCCCTCAAACTACAAATAACGGACCCTAAACATGCCCACTCAATATCCCTTTTTACTAATTAAATCTCATTGCATGATTTTTTTGGTAACTTTATTGCATCTATGAGTAAGGCAGTTCTGTTCCCACGTGTATACTTTTCATTTTAATATGCGTTGCCAACACTAAAACCTATCTTAATGATGCTTAGTTTCTACTTTAATCACATTGGTGCAGGATATCTTGAGTTCAAATTCACACGTTCCCATTTAATCTTTTTTTTTGCTTTTTCTTTTAATTTATTTAGCTTCTAATACTTTGTTCTTTTAATCATTATCCTAAAAATGTCCGCCTAGTGCCGCCGGCGCTAGGTAGTTGAGTCACCGCCCCGATTATGCTTAGACTTTTGAAAATTAAGAAGAGGAGCCTAGACCTGATGAGGCACCCGCCTAACCCGCACAGACCTGCCCAAACCCACCTAGGCACCCGCTTAGGTTGCGACTTACTTAGATAAAAAATAGGTAACTTTCATTTTGTATTTTATTTTTTTCAATAAATTGTATGAGACTTGCTGAATAGTTAAATGAACACACATTATATGTTTGTTCCCTATATTTTCATTATGTTCTAATACTTCATATTATATATGTCATTCTATTTTGTAGTTTATGATAAAATTATATATATTTGAAGTATAAACAAACATTTATTTACACAAAATATAATAGATTTACTTAAATCCGCCTAAACACCCGCCTAGACCACGCCTAGCCGCCTAGGCGCTAGGCTCCAGCCCACCGCCAGACTAGCACTTAGCGTCTTTTAGAACCTTTCTTTTAATTAATCTTTTTTTTCGTGTGTCCATGGCAACCAATCAAAATCCAAAGAAAGCATCTGATCCCAAGAGCCCTAGTTTTTTCCATCCATCCAAAACCAATCCTTCCTTCCTTGGAATGGAATCACTACTTTGGCTTCTGTGGGCTGCTCCAACAATGATTCTTTGGCCTTCATCTCCACTCCTTTATTTTACAACATGAATATTCAAAGAAATAATGTACATATATTATCTGACGAAATTTGTTCGTTCAGTGAATAGTCTAAGTTGACAATCTGGCAACATAACAAGTTACGTGAGAACATTTTCAAACTCTACTACTACTATACTTACATAGTACATGGATATAATTTCATGATAACTAATAATGTCATTAATTATGAACCACTTGTTGATCTAAAACTTGAATTATGCAGTGGAGTTCTTGAACAACATCCTTCATGGCTGGTCTATCTCCCTTCTTTTCCTTCAGACATGCAAGTCCAAGCTCTAAGAAAAGCTTTACACTTGCCACTGTATTCCCCGAAGGCTCTTCGCTAAGCAGCCGGGGATCCACTACCTCCATAGCAACACCATTGTTGGCTCTTACACTCACGTAAATGGCTAAGTTCACGTCGTCATGATCGCGTGAGAAATCAATGGCTTTTTGTGATGTTAAAAGCTCAAGCAGCACAACGCCATAGCTATAAACATCACTCTTGTCAGTTAACTGATAGTTCCGATAGTATTCGGGGTCTAAGTACCCTAATGTTCCCTGAGCACATGTCGAGATATGACTCAACCCCGGACAAGCCAACCTGGACAGCCCAAAATCTGCAACTTTTGCGTTCAAATCACTGTCCAGAAGGATGTTGGTTGACTTGACATCTCTATGGTAGATGGGAGTGTGCGCCGCGGAGTGTAAATAGGTCAATGCTTCAGCAGTTTGCAAGGCAATTCTGAGCCTAGTTTTCCAGTCAAGAAATGTCGAAAACTTGCCGTGTAAATGGTCACTGAGAGTGCCATTGGAGATGTACTCATAGAGCATCAATGGCTGCTCAGCTTCCACGCAATATCCCAAGAGTCTGACCAGGTTCTTGTGGTTGACTTGGGAGAGTATCCCAACTTCATTTAGTACTTGTTCTGTGCTCTTGATGTTGCCAACTTTTGCTGACTTGACGGCGACGAGAGTCCCATCTTCGAGCTCTCCTTTGTACACTTCTCCAAATCCACCACTCCCCAAAACTCTCTGTTTGGAGAAACCATTGGTGGCTTTCTTCACATCTTTCAAGTGAAACATTCGAGCTGATTTCCCATCACTATTGCTCTTCAACATGTCTTCTCTTGCCTTGGTAAGTTTCTTCTGGTCCGAGAATTTGCAGGATCTTTTCACTGTGACAATTGCTATAACTGCCGCTACAATGAAAAATGAGATTACCCCAATCGAGACCTTCAGAGTCAGACCCGCTTTCGTGTTCCTCTTCTTCTTTGAGCAAGTGCCATCAAGATGATCCCAATAGTACTCCCTATTGCAAAGGCAGCGTGAGACACCGCTTGAACCCGTAGGCGAACATTTGGAATCTGAAGAGCAATCAAGTTGTGTTCTACAAATTGGTTCAAGAGCAGATGCCCATTGAATTTCCAATCCCTCTTCCCATTGGCTCGCAGGCTTGTTTATATCCAAATGAAGGATGCTTCTGAAGGCTTTGCAGCCTGAGCTGTGAAGCCGAATCTTGTATGCTGAAGGCATACCACCAGCAACAAATGTGCAGCAAAGATTAAGCCTGTTTTCGCACTGTAGTGCTCGGTTTGTATCAATGTGTCCTGAGCTTTCTAAGTACCGGTGACAGAGGCTAGATGAAGTGCAATTGAGAGGAGAAACCAAGAGCCGCGGAGAGCAGTTGAAAAGGAAGATAGTATTCGACGAAGTGATGTTGAAAGGAAGTGACTGATTCAACCAGAGGCCCTCACTCACCACCAAGTCCTGAGTAACACATTTTCCGGGCAGCCATGGGGACGGTTGTACCACCATGCGCTGATACGTAGCCATGATTTGAAGAACAAGATAGTAACTTCCATTGAGGGCATGAACATAGAGTTTCTTAGAGGAGGGGTCACAATGGAGAGAGTAGTCGGGGTCACCACAGTCGGGGCTTGTGCTTAGTGGATACGGAACTTTCATGAAACCACAGTCGGGGCAGGTCTTTTGGGAGGAGCAGCAATGATAGATGCAAAAAAGGATGAAGAAACAGCTGCAGAGGAAGCCTGGCATTATGTTTTTCCTGGTGACCATATTTGCACGAACAAAGGGGAAGCAATGAAAAGCTTATGGCAATACATACGGGACGCAAAGATGGGGTAAATAAAAGGATACGAGGTTAAGTCGGTTGGGTAGGATATTGTGGCCGCCCCATTACACTCAAGTTCGAATCCCTCTACCCACATATTAGAGTATTTTCATCAAAAGTTGAAAGAAGGAAACAAGAAGAGAATAAAGTGGGTGAAACAGAAGTTGGAAAGTGGCTGCAAGAATCTATGTTAAAATCATAAAAGCTTTGGCGTTTATAGGAGCTGTGGATTCCTCCTTTATAGTGTGACCTCTACTTAAGGAAAGCAGTCACTAAAAACGCTTCAACTTTTGTGCTTTCCTTCATGAAGTTGAGGAACAAATCATTAAATCGAGAATACTAATCTACTAGATAGTGAAAGAAAGATTTCCACAACATAATGGCTAATCACACCTAGCTTAGCTAGCTAGGATTTTTTCAATGTTCTCTTCTCCAGTAAACATACATGTGGATCATCGACGAGATAAGTTAGGGGGATGCAGAATACAGAATTATGCAGAAAAAATTACTATGTTCTGCATAAAAGATAAATGATTAACATTTATAACAAGAAAAATAAAAAAAATCGTGAATGAGCAAACGATGATCTGATCATTCAATCTTCGCAAATACTTGCATACCCAACTTCTGCACTATATCCTGAATATTAGATGGTCATGGACGGAACAACATTTCCTAGTACAAGGGAACTTGCAATGGATGAAATCTCCACAAATTTCATTTCCAAGAAATTTTTTGAGGTTATGAATGAAACTTGCAACGCTAATGATATTTGTATCACTTATGCAGTTACCCTTGTCATTGTTGAATTTTTCAGGTCGACGGGCCGAGGGCCCCACTTCAACTATACTGATACTTGATAATTACCACTTGCCCAATCCGTCAAATGTGCGGTTTTGTCACAAATAGGCTGGGTATTAGGCTCTAAGTTTAGAGTTCAGGTTTGTTTCCAATTCCACACTTCCTCATGACAAGGACTTGGCTTGCACGGGCCGTAACTTGTCTCTGATAATTACCATCTGCCCAATCTATTAGTTTGGGAGGTTTTATCACAAAAGACCTAGATATTAGTTAGAGAGCATTAATCATATTTAAGAGCGATCGGTTCGGTCTATTTCTTTATCTCCCCATGAATCGTATGTTTGTAACGAGAAACGAAACTGACATCTCCAAATTTAACTCAAACTTAGCTCGCTTCTTTTTTTTCTTTGGGGTTGCTTTTTCCAATAAACGTTGGTTACATTTCTAACTCTTTCTTTCTTCTTTCCCACACCGCTGTGGGAAAGCGAACAGTCATAGTGTCGAGCAAAAGGACAGCTTTACGGTTTACAATGAAGAGAATAGCAAGATTTATTTTTCCCGCAACCTTTTGAGCTTCTATTTACATTACACAAGAGCATGAGCATAAGAATCAGTAGGAAGAGCATAATTTCATTAACCTGTAACAAGTTTTACAGAGACCTGCACAAGAGAGAAACAACACCAAACAATTGCTACGTATCCTCTAGTGTGTGTATAAAAAGTTGATAATTACAGTTCACAGAACCCATTACTTACCCAAATGGCATTTTTACTGGGAGTAGTTCAACGTCCAACTGCAGATTAAAAGAATATACAGAACAGTGAAGAGGAATATAGGGAAGGGCCCATGAAAGAGAGTTATGGAGGTATAGAAAAAAGATGAAAAGAATATAAATCATAATGCGAAAGAGAATCGCGATAGAGATAGATTAGCTCCAAGAAATATAAAAAACAAAATAAAAAAAACCTTCAGATTCCTACACTTTGTATGAAAGAGAATGGAAAAGGAAGTCGATTCTGAACACCATCTGGAGGGCATTTTAAGAACTTTACCGCGCTGTAGTTACTTGCAAATATACATGTTACCATGGAAAAAGCCTAAGAGAGTAGGAGAGACGAGGAGAGATTTGTGGATGAAGTCCTTTTGGAGATTAAATTTTGTTACCTCTATGGTTTCATTTGGAGGAATTTCCTGTACTTCTTTGCTTCCATAGCTAGCTCGGGAGGAACTATTGGCAATCGCTGCAAATAAATAATTTGAATCAAAAGGAACCCAAAAGGGTACTTATCGAAAACGAAAAGAACTAGAGGGTGTCGTTATTGCAGTTGTTTAAAGTGATCTAGTCTAATGAGGAAAAGGCCATACACTTCGAGCTGCTATTTCCTCATCATAAAGAACAAAATATCTCCAAGATATACTTGAAACTCAAAATATTTTTTTCTCTCTGCATAAATCAAAATCCGTAACGGTATTGTACTCGAGGCTTACTACTAAACAGCATAAAAGAAGTAAGAACTTTAATATTCTTGTGCAACGCGTAAACTAAAGTTATTCTGCTTCAAGACATAACAAATAAATTTCATACCAATAAATTAATGTCAACTTCGCCACACGTGAGGTGGTGTGTTGAGAATGAATCCCACATTAATGAGAGGAGGGACCTTGCATGTGTTTATAAGTAAGTTGGGTTACTTCCCATATTGCAAATTGATTTTATGGTAGAACCTCAACTTTTTTCATTGTAGTATGGCTGCATCATCAAGGTATCAATGAGAACCGGATAACTGGCGATTCATCTTATGCAAGAGGGAATATCTGTTAAGACTGTCAGCACTTTAACAGAATAAATATAACTGTTCTAGACTCCATTGCAGTTTTATTAAACGGAACCACTTTATACAGTGCAAAACCATGATCCAAGTTTTGGTTTTATGGACAATTAGTTATTCTACAAGTTAAATTTATAATCGTAAAATTGGTTGGTTCATTCTATCCTAAGTTTAAAGGGACATTTGATGGTGCCCGCCTCTTCCTTACATATACATGTGAATAGCAGTACTACTCAAGTCTTACCGTTACTCCAATTACCATATAATAGGCGGGATTGGAGGAACCCTAATCACTGTATAATGGTGTCCCTACCTTCACAAAACACACATTCCATTCCGAGCAAAACCTATTATTGTTGCTGGAACACTTGTCTTGTTGAAAGTATAAGACTCCTTAGTTATCTGCAAGAGTCATGTCTTCCATATTCTAAAGATAGTATAATTGGTTTATTGTAATTTTGTTTATCAAATTTGTGATCCTAATGTCTTACTGTTGTCCGTATTATTTCAGTAATATCTTATGAGTTGTACACTGAAGGGGAGTATTGTAAATAGTAATCTAGAAGTATGATTGTGTAAACTAGAAGTAGGAGTCTAATAAGATCTAGAAGATCCTTTCCTTGTATAACTTATAGAGTGAAGTGCGGATTTAGTCTCTAAACTATCACCTCAATGAAAATTAGGTTCCTGAATTATTTTTTTGGGTAAAATAAGTCTCTAAATTCATTAAAAATTGCTAATTTCATCCCTACTATTATACTCAAAGTCATTTTATCCAATTTATTGTAAACTTTAAGTTACTTGACAAACTTTAGAGTGTAATACCGTTCTTTGCTCGCCTATAAGCCTTTAACATTTCATATAGATTGTAAATCTAACGTCTAATTTACCCTTCAAACTTAACTCCATATAATATTTATCTATGTGAAATTACCAATCTACCCTCCAATGTGTATCATATGCAAATAACGTGACTTAAGTTCATGGAAAATTGAATATAGTAGCTTCAAATATAATATTAGAGATGTAATTGGCAGATTTTTATAATTCAGGACTGATTTCTCTGAAAAAAAAAATAGTTTAGGGACATACCTTCTTTTTTGTCAAACTTAAATAATTAGGGTAAAACAAGAATCCACCTTCCTATCAACTGATTTGTTGTTTATGAACATAATTTTTACTTAGGTGATAATTCAAGAACTGAATTAGCAGTTTATCCTAACTTATATTAATTGGAGGGCAAGCGAAGCCCATCATTATTACTACAAAACACAATCTCAGTAACACTAAGCCCTTTCTCTCTCTTTGCCGTCACTCTAACATTGGGTTTTTTTTTTTTACCTTTGTTTTAATTATAATAGGTACTATTCCAAATTATATCAAATTTTAATCCCTCAAACTACACAAAACAAGCAGGGGAATGTAAATATAAGATATTTCATTCTTACCATTTGGTCCATTTCTCATCATTCTAATTTCTAAACATGGGGAATGGGCCAGCCAAACTCGTCCATTCGATTGGTTCAGATTTTTGTTTTTTGTTTTTTTATTTTTATTTTTATTTTTTTTCTACGTTAGACCAAACCAAAAACAAAGATTTTTTTTTTTTGTTTTTAATTCTTTTAACAAAAATAAATAAATTTGAGATTAAGATCTATTATATTTTAGAAATATAATTGAACAGAATTAGTTAGTATACGATATAATTAAGACGAAATTTGAGATAAATAATCTTAGGAAAACTCGTACTTGACCTGAAGATTCAAGCATTATTCAAATGGTATTATAGTCCACCAATCTAACTACACCCATAAGGTGTTCGTTCAAGTACAACCATGATCATCCAAATGCTAGATGCAAAATGAGACATTGAACAGGTTTTGGAGCCCAAAGTTGATATTTGAGTGTAGTTGCGCTTTATTGTACTTAGGTTTTTGCACTAGACATGACATCTCATTCGTTCTTAATTTGTTGGTAAGATATAACATTATGCTACACTTTGCCACTAAATTGGTGATAAAAGATATTCCGCTACCCTAAGGATACTACAAATTTAGGCTTATTCCATCCCTAAGCATCCCGACCGGATCCAACCCCTGATGTTTGCTTTGTTTCGTTATGTTGGCGCCTACTTATCAAACCTGCACAAGGCACACTCCCATACGTTGACGCCTACTTTTCCATAAGAGATACCATAATATCTTGGAGGCCCATAATAAAACCGACCATAGTTAAGGCGTCTTCAAACCATACCAAGCTCATTGTTCCTCACAACCCAACATGTGAGTCAATATGATTGAGAGCCGTTGTTGACCATATTCGAAACACTTGCGAGTTTTCATCTTTCGTTGATGTCCCAACAACAATCCGTGTATCGACCAAATATAGGAATGATACATCATAGAAGTTAGAGCCAAGCTT